GGGGGGGGGGTGGGTGTGGGTATGGGTGCAGGTGCGGACGTGAGAAGAAAGACACACTCACACCCATACCCACACCCTTTCTTTTTTATTTTTAATTCTTTTTCATTTTCTGTTCTTAGATGTTAAACATATGATAGTGGGACGGAGAAAAAAGAAAAATAAGCAATCTATCCTTCCAGTATCACTGTCTTGCCGTCCCACTATCATATGTGTAACATCTAATAAAAGAAAAACAAAAAGAAATAAAAAGAAAAAAAGAAAACATCACACCAAAACGTCTGACGAAGACAGCTTCGTATGTCGAAACGTTACATCTTCATAATTATATATTTCTTTTAAATATATTTAATTCTTTTGATATATTTTATTTATTCTTTTAATGTTTATTTTTATTATAATAATTTTCACTCTTACCTTTGTGGGTTTTTTAAAAGTTAAAATAATAAAATTAGCATTAAAAATTTGAATTAAAGTATTTCAATTAATTAATATTTTTAAAATAAATATAAAAGATTAAGAACTTCAAAAAGGAAGAGTATTAAATTTCAAAGTAAATAGTAAAATAACCTTCCTAATTCCTCGTAATGAAGAAAATTTATATTTATTTCAAATTAACAGAAAAATGACACCTCGAATCTTTCTTCAATTCCATCTTACTCACTCATCATCCATCCACTTCTCCTTCGGCTTGACATTTTCTCTCCCGATTTTGTGAATTGATTCCTGATTTTAAAGACAGTGGTAAACTGATTGCCGACGAATCAAATAAAATTCTGTTTTAAACCCTGTCAAGATCTTGAAATGTTGTGGCTAAACATTTTTTTCTAGGATTTTGTCATTTTCTGAGAAAAAATAACAAATTCGTGCAAGATCCTTGTCAAATTTGCTCAAGATCTAGCAGAGAACCAAGAAAGATTTCTGTTAGGGAAGCGAAATTTTTATTTTTCTAATTAACATTTTGTCTTTCAATATCACTACAAAATAAGTGAGTAAAAGTGGAATCATTTTAGCCGCTATTAATTCTCAAGAGTTTTAGAGTAGTAAAAAAAAAGGGTATACATGTTTTACAAGTATTTTTCATAACATAATTTACAAAAGTTAATAAGTAATCTTCTGGGAGAAAGCAATAGAGAATATTTCAGAATCTTTTTTCAGTGTCTGTATTACAGGCGTCGTCCTCATATCTTTCCCTTCTCTTCTTATTCTCTTTTTCTGTATGTGATTAACTGTTTATTTGACTTCAATCCAGCAAAAAATTACTTGCGATTGGAAGGATTAAAGCTATCTTCTCGTGTTTCACATTTTAATCCCTTAGAAATTGTTCTGAAAGCCTTTTTGAAAGTCATTAAAGTGCGCAGTATTAAGGGAAAATGGCACGAGAAAAGGATGATATCAATTATAAACGCAGTGTGATCACATTACCTGCCCACAAAATGCACCAGTTAATGCATCCGTATATTAACTGGTCCCCATGAATCGAATCGATACACTTCTCTACTAATCATTCTCTAAGATGAATATTTTCGTATTCGCACTTCTTTTGATCATCTCGGCTACCATGTGTGTTGCCCAATACACTGGCAATGCTTGCGGAAGCATCTCACCTGTAACTCGTTGGAGAAGAACGGGACAAGACGATCAAATCCGAATGGATATCGACACGAGTAGCTGTCGTTTTCAATACACGCCTCTCTATTTCACGAGCATCACGGGCGGTGTAGGTCATTATTTACTTACTGGTATCAACGCTATCTATGAACCAACTAACAATGGCTTCACCATCTTTGTCAGTTCGACAGATGGTGCAACAGCCAACACACTTATGGCACGGTCAGCTCAGTGGAAAGTGCAATGGGTCGGTCTTCAATGATAGACGACAGCAGAATTGCTTTTTTCTCGTACATGAATAAAGAAGAATGATGAGTTATCTCAGAATACACTCGTTTTACTCGTCAAAGGAGGGCCTCCAGAATTCTTCCCAAGCAGAATTCAGAATTTAAAAATCCAATCGGTACACAATGGATTAGTTCCCTAAGATAAACTCTCACCAGCGAATAAACTACTAACCCCTACGCTCAGAATTTTCACAGAAATCTAGGGTGTATAAATTAAAGACCTGCGGAGTCAAACTTTTTTTACTCCGACTCCGACTCCGACTCCGAAAATTCTTAACGACTCCGATTCCGACTCCGACTCCGAAAATTTTTTTAAAATGACTCCGACTCCGACTCCGAAAAACTCCGAAAATTTTTTTTCTCGTAAATTAGCGATCGCATACATGTACGAAGATATTATGTGATTTAGCGTTAGTGTATGTTAACGGAAGATTGATCTAACTGATCAATAAATAACGTCTATTTTATTTTCCAAACGGAAACTATATATAGATGAACGAACTAGGAAAAAAACAAGAACACTTGGGAAAAAATATAATAGGAGAGAAAGATACCTGAACTATATCAAGAGAAGAGAACGTTTGGCAAATACCTGAAGATGAATGAAAGGAAAGTAGAAAAGAAGAAAAGACATATATATATCGTAGTTGTCATCTGTACGATATAATAGAAGAGAAAAAAAGAAGAAGAATAACAAATAAGTGAATCACGCTATAACAGTGCACAATTAAAAAACAAATCTGATTTGAGATCATTCAGATTTATCAACTGTGAACGTTAATTTTGTACAGATGTTTTCTTTTGTTTTCTATTTCATGTTATTTAACTATTCACTTAACGGTTTTCGTTTACTTGACGTTATAATTATGAAAAAGAAGGAAAAAAAGTTTTCGGAGTTTCTATAAATTTACATTGACTCCGACGGAGTCGGAGTCGGAGTCGGAGTTCGGAGTCAGATGCAGGTCTCTAGTATAAATTAATAGAAAACAGATCAATCTATATCTTTTTTGATACAAAGCAATCTGCTATTCTCAACTCTTGCTTTTCAGCAATCGATCTAGTCGAAACTTGAAATTAAATTTGAAATTTAAACAAATAAATTTGTGCTTTTAAATAAGTATAATTCAAAATAAAATGCAGAGTTAATTTCGCCGATGCGTTTCGTGTTATTTATTGAAATAGTAAAACACTCATCAGGGCTCTGCATTTTATAAAACTGAAAAAGCAAGAAAGCGAGAAATAGATAAAACTATTAGAAAGAAAAGAAACAAGAAAAAAGTGAAACTAATAAAAATATAAGCAAATGAGGTAGAGAGAGAGAAAAAAATATCAAAAGAAAAAATGAAAAAAATGGATTCACAATTCTGATTAATAAAATAACGAAATTTTTGTTCTATAAATTTATTTTGTTTTAATGTCTTTATGGCTGATGTAGTTGGCAAACTATTGCAAATTTGAAAGTTAATTTTGCTCTGAAGTCTCTGTGGCTGACGTAGCTTGAAAACTATAGCAAATTTCTCAGTTTTCTTGAACTGATTTTTTTGTAAGAATTGTCTAAAATCTAGTAGATTGATTTTTTGTATAAATTGTATAAATTGCATAGAATCTAGTAGATTGATTAATTTAAAAAGAGAATTGAGATGTATAAATTCTGTTTTTGTGAACAAGATCTTCCTAGGCTATTGAGAATGAAATTGGATTGAGTGTTTAGGCCAAATTTTGAAAAAGACCATTCAAGACTATTGTTTGTCAAATTTACATGATAGCAGTCTTTTAGATCCATTGCTAATTAATTTTACTTGATATAATTATCTCAGGAGCCGTTTAAGGCTATTGTTTATAAAATTTAGTTGGCCGCAGCCATATATTGTTATTGATTAATTGATTTTTACTTGGACCAAATTGTTCCAAATTAATTAAATTATTTTATTGTCATCAAGGGGGTAGGTGTGGGTCCGGGTGGGTGTGGGTGTGTGGTGTGGTTGTAGGTGCGGGGTGGGTGTTGGTGTGGGTGTTGGTGTGGGTGTGGGTGTGGGGTGTGGATGTGGGTGTGAGTGTGGGTG